CTCCTGCTTGGTGCGGTCTGCTAACATGACACATTTTAAGTTACTTATTGTAGATTCCTTTTCACCAGGCTCACTAGTTTTTGATCTAGTCCATTTATATTAGCAAAAGCACAGAGATAACTAAAAGCCTTGAGGCTCTTAGAGCAATCCAAAGTGCTGATGCGGAGGCTTGCATCAGTATGAGACTGAATGACTTTCCCAAGACCCAAGAATAACCTTTCGCAAAATTACATGTTCTTTTTTTCTCTGTTTGTGCCATTAAGCTTTTAAAACCTCTTACTTCTTAAAATACAATCTGGTGTGAAAGCAAAGAAAAAGTGAGTACTTGGCAATGTAGAGTTTTTATCTTACAGTCTTTTTAATTGCAGTAACACTTTGTAATAGTGTGGCTACACTGAAGGCTAAAGCTTATGTAAAATGGCTCTGTCAGGTAACTGTTAGAGGCACTTTACACTGTTTTATGCTGCAACCTTCTAATTGTGCCTTTTATTTGGCAACTAGCGGGATACGGAAGACTCAATTTCAAAAACAGGGAGGTGCAGAGTGGGAAAAAGAAAGATGGATTTTTCTCTTTCAAGGGTACACTGCTTCCTGCTAGCATCAGTAGAGAAGTTCAGTGTCAACGCAGAGCTAATGTGCTGTGTCTTCCAGCCCCATGTTTGTCACAGGTTCCCAAGTCAGCTTTGTCACTGCCACAAAAGAGCCTGCTCCACTCACTGAAATCCAGATTTCCTTCTCCCTGCCTGAAGCTGCCTTGCTACACGGTTTGAAAGAGCTGGGACCCACTCATCAAAACTGCTGTCTCTTATTACAATGCTGTTTTCAGCTCACACCATAAATACATACATACATACATACATATATATATATATATTTAGTTACAATCTTCAAACCTGAATCATGGGAATGCAGTTTATAGGGCAGGCTTATCCACATCCACCACTTCTCTGCCTCCCACCATGAAATCCAACCTCCCTGTAGGCCGTGAACTTCCACCCTGACACGCTCGTTGAAATGAAGCCACCTCCGGGCTCGGCGCCAAGACGATTCCAGCGCCGGAGCCGCTGCCACGGAGCGGCGCAGGCCCCGGCGCTTATCTCTGCGGAGCAGCCTCCGTGAGCTGGCAGCGACGGCTCCTCTGACTGCAACATGACCAGCATTTTTAAGGACACGAGACATCATCTCTGCAAAGCCCCGCAGCACTCGGCCTTTAAACTCTGATTTCTGAAGTCTCATCGATGCTGCAGAATGAAACTGTAAGATGCAGACAGCCCTGTCCCCAATTCTTTGTGCACATTACAAAAAACCAGACTGGAACAGGTGAGAGACAAGGATGAAAAATATCGATTCTTTCTCTGCCGGGGCCATAAATTGGAAAAACTGGGACAACCCCTGAGACAAGATGCAAAGAAACTCACACTTGTGAGAAACAGCTCAAGCTCTAGGGTCCTAATTGAAATGCATCCAATGTTCATTTTTCTTCCAAATAACTTTTGTTTGTATCTCTTGCAGTTAGTGTACCTGCCTACTTATTTTTTCTATATCTTTCAAGTAGGATATGCTTGAATTAATGGCTTCAATTTGCCCCAAATAACCTCATTCACAGTTTTAACTGTTCTTGACAGTTGCATTATTTAGTTTCAAAGTTCTAAGAATTGGATCTGTTCATTTGAAGCAGTCTGATTAGGAATTTGAAATTAAAAGCGTAGAGAGAAAAGCTCCCTCTCCCCCTACAGTTGCCATGTGCAATTAAACCTGAAAAGTTAAACAAAACGACACGCTTTCACACCATTATGGTACATCCTGGTGCACTTCCATAATGAAAAATCTTCTCTCTCTGCCAAATTCCTGACACTGCAGCTAATAGAGAGGGAAAGGCACCAGGAGGTTGGGGAATTACCATCCTTACAGTTTTCAGCAGGTTCTTAGCCCTTGCCTCACTACAGCAGTGGGCTGGAGCAAACTTCATGTTGCAAGACAGAAAAGATCTAGCAGAATATGGCTGCATTTGGATGATGGTGATCTGAAATCCTAAGTTTCTCCTTGAAAAGAGATGAAAAAAATCTGAATTACATTTTTATACAAACTCCAGAATTTCTGGGAGCAGAAAATCCTACATATCTCAAACCTGGATGGGGAAGAAAGTGTTCACCTACAGGTGAATCATCTAAGGTCTGTACCTTAGATAAGAACCTCACATTACTTACAAATTACCTTTTGGATTTCCTACATGCTAAAATGTGATGCGAAAAGTGCTACTTAGCAGTGAAAATAAAAGAAATCAGAAAAAAAAAAACCCTCAGAAGAATTCATGTTCATTATTCAATAAAAATAAGGTGAAATATAGCAAGAAAGTGAGAGAAAGCTAAAATCTTCTCTGAGGTGAGAAGAACAAGGCAGAAAGCTGCTCCAGCATCACAAATAAGGGATGTTTATAATTCTGCTTATCTACATAGCAGGAAAAACAGGGGCAAATTTGAATCTTGGAAGGAGTACAACAGAAAAAATAGCATTTACCGCTGAATTTTAAAATCTTAAAGTGTTACAGAACATTTCCTTTGATTTGACCAAAACTGCAATGAATTAGTCATCTGAATAGGCAATATTTGAGGAAAAAACAGGAATCAGAAAAAAAAAAGAAAAGATTAAAAAGAGAAACCAACTATCAAATATACTCTATGATAAGACTGGAAAATTTCTTATTAGTTTTAAATTTTCAAGGGACTTTAGACATCCAAGATTATAGATCAAGATCTTTTCTATATCCCTTCAGTATTTGATTTTCAATAGTGACAACACAGGAGAGGGATCTTCACCTTGTGTGTTATATGAAAGCAGTTCATAGGGGAGCAAAAGTGCAGGAATTTGTCCTAGTGCTCAAAAGAAAACAAAGACAAAAAAAACAAGATTTTGATACTGTAAATGAAAAAAAAAAAAAAAAAAAAACAAGGTTTTGATACTGTAAATGAAAAAAATGTCACATCCAGCGCTGAAATACAAAATAGAGCTTGTAAAAGTAGAAATATTTAATATATTAATATCCAAAGCAACTGAACAGTTATAGAGTCAGCCTTTGGCTGACAGTGCATCAGTGTTAAAAAAAGAAATTTAAAAAGTCTTAAGAGGACAGACCCACTGGGGTCTATGTGCTCATGCTTACAGCAACAAGAAACAGGTTAGAAGGAGTTTTCCAATTTTATTGTAGGAAGGCATATAAGGACTTCTGCATAATTATTTCATCTTTGTACAACTTGAAGGTATTTCTTCACTACTTTGCTTACCTGCTAGAAATACACTTTCTGTTTTTTCCCTGGCAGTTAATTTGATAAAACACAGGTAACATTTGGCTGCTGTACTGTGAAGTTCCACGCTTGAAACGTTCCTGGAAAATCCTCTCGAAGGATTGCCAAGAATCAAGGAGGTTCCTTAGTCTTAGCCCGACCTGATCAGAAAGGGCTTCCTGTTAAGCTAAGGGAAGCTGCTTCCAGAAACACGGACAAGTTCACCTGCTGCTGCTGCTTAATTAAGAGTGTGCTCAGCTATTTCAAGCTGATCAGAAAGGTTTCAACTGCCAAATTTCCAGAAATGAAAAACTAATCAGACTTTCTAATCTCAGCATGATTGGTCCGAGAAAAAGATCAACATACAGGAACAGATTTCGTAAAACTCAATGGAACAAGGTTGGTATTTTTTTCTACCTGTGTTATTCCACCTCATTGCTCCTGGAGGCAAAATAGGCAACTGAAAAGGGGAATTACAAGTCAAAGATAAGGATGTATGGCTCCTTTCAGGGAGGAAAAAAAAAGAAAACTTAACTTACTTTCAGAGTATTATAAAATAACATGGATTTAAATTCCTAAGTATTTACACAGTAAATACCTCGGGCAAGAAACCTAAAAGCCTTGAAGAAAATTTTTTCATTGGTGAAGACCATGGTATCTGTCCCAGTGAATGAGTTACTGGAATGTTGGCTGAGAATTCCCTTGATTTTGTTGATCCGATATAGAAACGTCCGCGGTTGTCGGAATTGTTAACCAGCCCAACAAGTGTTGTACTGATTCACTACCTTGGGAAACAAATCGTTTTCCCGTATCCCAACAGTCCCATGAACAGGTGCTTTTCCGTGACAGACTTCACCGCCTGGCAGGTTTGGGCATGATATAAACCTTGACGGGTTTGCTGAACGGAATGGTGCCCTCGATGCCGTTTTCAGATGGCGGGAGAGCCTCCATGCTGTCGCTCCACGTGGATTTGGGAATTTTAGCAGCCTTGCTCCTACTGGAATTGTAGGCCAGCAGCAACCTCACCTCAATCTGACACGGCTCTGAAGAGGGAAAACAGAACAAGCCAAACACAATGGTCATCACAGAGCAAGTAACCAGTACCGAGTGAATCTGTGAGAATTTAAAATTGGTCAAGATTTTATTTATTCTGTGTTAGAGAGGCATTCTAGGTTTATAAAATCACAACCCCAAAGATGTCTTGAAAAAAATATTTTTAAATTAATTTTTAAACTTTATTCTGTCATTACATTCAAAACAGTAGCATTAAGCACTATTTTTTTCCTCCTATTCTTAGTCTCAGGTTAAAACAAACACTCCTATGATAAACTAGCAAATCTCAAAAATAATTATCAAAAGGTAGCAGGCCTAATTTATTTCCCTAAATTTATTGCAAAAAATAAGTAAAATCTAGAGAGTCTGATCAAGACTCTCATACCAGAAAATTACTTAAAGATTCTCCTCTGTTGCAGGTTTTTTACATTTCAACACAGCCTTTTTCCTTGTTTTTCCATCTCAGCAGTTAGGCAGGTATTCCTAATACTCCTAATTCCACAAGATGCATAGGATGAGTTTATTTTGTTCTCTCAGTGCTCACAACGAAAACAAGTTTTCCTTTATAATATGACTTTGAGTCATACTGAGTCAAAAATTTCCCTTGCAAACTGAAAAATTGTTTTAGCTTTTCCTTCAGTCGACATTACCAAAACCTCTTATTCCCAGTGTGTTCCTCTAGGCTCCTTCCAGTTTCCCTATGTAAGTTTTAAGATGCAGTGCCCAAAACTGGAGTAACTGTTGTCACCTCTCTCCACACCCATCACTTATCCCACCTTTTACGTGAGGACAGTCCCCTTGCTACGTTTCCTCTGGTCTTCAATGAGTAACTTTCTTGAATTCGGACAATTTCTCCGCTTTGCCAACAGCACTTTGAATTCTGACTGTGTTCTCTCAGCTGCTGCCAGCTTGGTATCATCGCCGCATTTTACATGCTTAAGTTCCAGTGTCAAAGCTAATTAATTAAAATAATGACCAGGGGAGATTCCAAAACAGAATTGCTTGGGAGCAAACTGAAAATGCCCTTCCAGCAAATACTGCAGAACCAGAAATAAGCACTTGATTCTGCTCCCTCTGGCACAGGATCAACCTTTAAATCCAGATACTTCCAGTCTTAGAAACAAGGCTGTTTTTTCTTCTCCAAAGCAAAACAAAGCAAGCAGGGTGAATGGATGTGCTATGGAAGTGCTGTGGAAAAATGGCTAAGTGAGAAAGAACACTGCAGAAAAAAAAAATGTTGACTAAAAATTAAACCACTGAATCCTATTAACCAGAAAATAAACTGCATAGAGGAGGGAAAAAAAAGGCCTGCATTTGAATAAATGCAGAGGGCTTAAAAGCAAACAAGAGAAAGGGAGCTGTGGAAAAATATTCTTTGATTCTGTTGTTTGAAATCCCACAAGCCAATTCCTGAAGCACTTGCATATGAGGGCAGCGTGAATGCCAGCTACAGCTCAACGGGAATGTCGGAGTCACTTACTCCACCAGAGATAGAGGGGGGTTTCTTAGGGCATAAAGGGTGACACTTTACTCAGCGGTGAAATTACACCGGGAGTACACACAGCCCCAAGGCTCCCTGCCACGCTCCAGTACCTGTTGGAACCAAAGCAGTGAATTACAGTGAATCAGCTCAGCAGACTCCGTACTTTTAGCTGCGGGCGCAGACCTGCCTCCCACAGCTAACCTCCTCCCCGAGAGCCTCCAGCAAGACCACACGTGGAGGTGGCATCTTTGTGCCCAAAGGGTCAAGCCAGGGAACTTTTCTGCCTCCAGAACAACGTTTGCTGTTGCTTGCAGCAGCGCCGACGCGCTCGCTTGTGCCATTGCCTCACCTGTCCAGGCCGTGTGCGAGAGGTAGACCTGTGTGATCAGCCTGTGCCTCCCGGGACCTGGGTTTCGGAAATCAGCTGGTTTGGGGTGGATTAACTGTGCTTGTCCATCTGGGTACAATACCTATAGAAGGAAAAAAGCAACGCTGAGGGACAGCTGCACGGGGGCTGTGACGTGCACTGGTTTCTTCTGCTTTTGGCCTGAGTTCGGAAGCAAGTCCATAAGGAGGTGGCATCAGCTTCTTCCTCCGTGCTCTAGGCAGAGTTTTTGATTTATTGTATAATGCATTTTTCTTAACATCCTTCTGCACCCACCTACTTCTCTAGGTTTTAAACACGTGGTTCAACAGCAGGAAGAAAGCTAAGTTTTAAATACAGAGAACCGAGCACCTAGATATTTCTGTGTTTCAGAACAGCTTCTTCTCTCCTCTTCTTGCCATTAAGCAAGCCAGCTTTTCAGCAGCGTTTGTTCGTGCTGGGGTTCCTAATGCATGCACTACATATGAGCCACTTTCTGCAGGAGTGTTAAATTACAGAAACCCAACATTGCTACGAAGAAAGTGCACAATTATTTGCAATTGAGAACAACTGACGTCCTTAGGCCAACTCCCCTGGAACACAATCCTGCTTGCGTTCATGCCAGGCGACTCCTTACCTGAACTTTAACAGTTCCCTGGGGATCCTGTACATGTTCCAGAGTTGCATCAACATCCAGCGCCACGACCAAGCCCGACGTAAACCGCAGCGGGTTATCCGATTCCCCTGTAGGCTCAATGATAGTTGCAGTAGCTCTATGGAGCTATGAGGGGCAAAGTGATTTGCAAAAGTGAGTGACAAGAAAAAAAGACAAGCTATTACTGTTCTTAACAGAGAAAATTCTGTGAACCAACTTTGGGTAATTTTAGATACGGTCAGGAAGTCAGGAATTACTAAATCTGTATTTTTAGCAACAGTTCTGGAGATTCTAGAAATCTAGTTCAAAGAAATAACCCTTGTGACCGATCGCCAGGATGAAACATGGTCTGTTGGTTTCTAAGACAGCTCAGAAGAACGTTGCATTTTAGTTCTTCACATGACACTGACCTGCTCTGGAAGAGGAAGGTGGAGGAAGGTGCTTTGTCGTAGTGTTGTTTGAAGGATCTTGACCACTTCCGAGGGCTTGGAGGTCACGAGCCTGGGCATTAAGTCCAGCAACTTATCGACAAAGCTGCCTTGCATGTGTGGGAGCTCTGAGATGAAACACCTGCAGGTGTTAAGAATAATATCCATGAAAATCAAATGCTTACCCCAACTTTTTTTTCAACAGTCTGGTGATTTTCAGTCAAGTTACTTATATTTATTTATAATTGTAGAATTAGATACAGAGTGACCTTGTAAGACAGGCAGTCTTCAATTACAGTTTCAAAACTAGCAAATAAGTATTTTTTTAAGCATTCTGTTACTGTCAGTTCTGCATGTAGATTCCCCTTCTGATGCACATGCACCTCACATGAGGTAACAATTATTTGGCTAATGTTGAGACTTCCATTTTATCAAGAACTGGAGATGCAGTTCTGCTCAGTCAGCTCTGGATATCTACATCTGAGCACGTTGTCTGGTTTTCCTTTCAAGTCCATCCAAAAGACCTCACGCCTCAGTAACCTGACCTATTTTAGGCATTGAATGTTGAGACTTCCATTTTATCAAGAACTGGAGATGCAGCTCTGCTCAGTCAGCTCTGGGTATCTACATCTGAGCAGGTTGTCTGGATTTCCTTTGAAGTCCATCCAAAAGACCTCACGCCTCCTTACCTATTTTAGGCATCAAGACTAGGACAAGATGGAAGAAGCACCTCTGTCTTCGCAGTAAGTGTCTGCCCAGGTGTCTGCTTCGTAAGCAGTGGTCTATAATGTCTATAACGTCTATGTGTATAGTGCAAACAGCTACAACTGGGTGACAGGATTCCCACCCTGAGCACGCAGATGGTTCATTTGCTTCGCGTGAAGTGAATGAGAGATTATGTGGCACCTCCAGATGCTCTGCATCTACCCAATAACTGCTTTAACTGCAGGAAAATCCAACACAAACGCTGAAGAGCAGGACCTAAAAGGGTCTTCAGCATAAAACTGCTGCTGTTAGTATCCTGTGAGGAGGTGGAGAGACCTCATTTCTGAATTATATTTCTGAATTATTCTGAAAGTCAAGTGTGGAACATAGAGAGGACATATACAAAAATCACCATCAGCTTTAAAAAACATTTTACATCTAAAGGAGAAAGTAAAAAAGCAATAGAATTTCTCACCTCTGAAAAGAATCTACTTCTTGCAAGAACTTTTCACACATCCCAAAAAGGGGTTCAGCTCTGTAACGAGGAAAACATTCCTTTACTTATTTATTTTCCAATGAAGAAAGCTGGCTCTATACCTGTAAGCATTTAGGAATCCAGTTCAAGCTTACAGAAACTAGCAGATCTTAAAGAGGCCAGCAGGGCATTCTCAAAGGCAAGAACTAAACCAAACCCAGGAGACCAGAAGCATTCCCATCTCCTTCCCTCCCACCAAGCCCCCCAAAACTTGTTGTTTTATGCATCGAAGTTACCCTGGGCATTCATTTTTATTACAGAAAGAAAAAGCCTCAGGAAACTAAGTTTATCATTACCCCTAAGGAAACCCCCTCTTTCAGCACGTCATCCTCACCCTCTGGTGGTCCGTGCAGTCACTATGAGCTGTAGAGCCTTGGCCTGCAGTCTCATGTGGTGGATAATGACCACCTGTCTGCCTTCCACGCCGCTGTACATGAACTCCATTTTATAAGTCTCCTCCAGGATCTGCCAGACACCACAGGGGACACAAGCCACGCGGC